TGGCAATGACAAAGTTATTTTCAGAAAATCAACAGCTACATTATTATTACTTGCATTATCTAGTGAAAGAGTAAATATTCTTTGATCAATTTCTAGTTTCATAAGTTCTTCAACAATTAAATTTGCAACATTAATACCAGTGTGTGACTCTTCAATTGCAATAAAAGAAACAACTCTTTTAAACATTTTCCAACTTTCATCAATCCAGTGTGCTGTTATACATAAATAACCAGTTTGCACTCTAGATGACCAAATATCAGAAGTTAAAGAAAATTTGCAGTTTAAATTTTTAAAATAAGAAATTATTTTTCCCTGTTCCTCAACATAATATTTTAAAATATCACGTTGACAGGTTTGACGAGAAAATTTTGTAAATGCAGGATAAAAACCATCTCTAAATAAATCTTCAAATTCATCATCTTCTACTAATTTAAAAGGAAGGTTTTTAAGAACAATAAACCTGATTACGCATTTCCGGGCTCGGGCAGCGTCATAATTCCAACTGCCGAGGGTACCTGAAGAGGATGATTGGGAAAGCATAGACTGCCGGATATCACCTTGTAGATTTTGGCCTTTGTTGTGTTTTTCAATATGCCGTTTGAGATGGTTGGTGCCGCTCTTATGATGAGCTTTGAATATCTGGCCGCACAACGCACATTTCGCATTCTGAGAGATGATCCTACCGTGTTCATCCTTGGTGACGTCTATCTTCTCAAAAAAATTCCATACATCAGACCTCGGCCTTTTTGGAGCTCTTGGTGCCGTAGATTCGTCGCCACCAGATTCAGGATTAACACCGGTAGGATGAGGAGTTGTTGTAGGAGGACTCATCTCTGGATCGGTAGGAGTTGCATGTTGCTCTTCATAATCAGACCCAGAAGCCATTTGTTGGAAGTATTAGAAAATACAAAAGATTATAGGATAGTATATTAGTATGAGATAGTATAAGATTGTATAAGAGAGTAGTAGAGAGAGAAATAGATGAGTTTTGTTGTGAGAAAATGAATTGAAACCCCCCCTCTATTTATAGAAGCAGCCCCCTAGGTAAATGACCAAAAAACCCTCGAAAAATAGCCGTTTTTTGACCGTTTTAAGGGGCAAAACGGTCAAAAGACCAAATCTGGCCGTTAGGCCAGATTTGGCCCGGGCCGGGCTGGGCAACGGTCACCTTTGTGACCGTTATGGCCGGGCCGGGCCGGGTCGGGCC